GAACCAATGTCTATTGTACAATGTCTAGGAATCATATATTTGAGTGAAGAACCTTGACATATTTTGTTATAGATTAAGTATTTGTTATTTGTAAATTTAATCTAATAGATATGTCTGATTACAATTTATAGTTTTATAATTTTAAATTAACAACGGCATCTACTTCTGGTGTAATGGTGGTGTTTTGGATACCGGTTTGGACATTTGGGGTTCGATATTCGACAGTGTTTGACCACATTGAAAAGAATTCGTAGGCAAGTTGTTATCACCTTTTAATAAACAGGTTTGATTGTGTATTTATCAAGTGGTTTACTTTCACTTAAATTGTCTGATGTATCAATTTCTGTTAATTCTTCAGTTTCCATTGGTAATGACACGTTTTCTCCAACAATAATAGTGGTATCAGGCATTGTCAAAGATGTATCTGTAAAAACTTGTTGTGTCAAAATGATATTGTTAATACAAGTGACGTATTGTCCATGACACTTTGCTGTATCAACATCAATCTGTAGTTGTTGAGCTCTTTTAATGTGTTTTAGTGGCACCACTTTGACCTTGTTAATTTGTTTTTGAGTCTTTTGGTACAACAATTAAATTTTCGTATCCATCAAGAGTTTTAATTGTTGGTATTTCCTCGACCATTCTTTTGGATTCTTTCAGATCTATGTATGCGTAATACTAAACATCCTCTCCTAAACGCGATACAATTACCGCTCTCTCAAAAGAATTGATAATTGTAACTGAACCAAGTGCTTTGTTGACTGACTTGAGAATAATTATCAATTTGTTTGAAATTGTTAATCCCCAAGATGCTCTTTCCTTTTTAATCAACAAATCACCATAACCTGGTCCAGACAAACAGGTTTCTTTGATGATATTGGTCATGTCGTCCTCTTCTTCTCTTTCAATTGACTCAAATGCACATTATTCACGTTCTAACAACCTTATGATCGAATCCAGACTTTCTACTAAATTTTTTGTTATTTTGGTGTGTATGTTGTTTTTTAGATTGGTCAACCTTTGTTATGTAAACAGTGAAGTTTATTTTGTGTTGCACCCATTACAAACAACACCAAAAAGAAGGTCCTCATACTTTTTAGTTTTACTTGGACAAGTTACAATGGCATCTGCTATCGAACTGAGTAAGGTTTTGAGTTGGTTTGCTATTCCACTGGGGAAAAAACCAAACCCCTTTTATGCTTGAACTCTTCTACTATTTCAAACAATTCATTGGGCAGCATTTGTGGAAATGATACTTTTAAACGTTGGATTTTGTCAAATGCACCTTCATTTCCATTTTGGATATTTGTAATCGCAGTGTCTTTTTTTCAAGAAGTTGACACTCTTTGTTGTTTTGAATACACGTTTAACAATTCCATTTCTCTTTTGATGGATCCAAATGCAACTAAGTCAAGTGGTTGGCACAAGTGACTGGTGTGTGAAACAAGATGATGAACCACGATGTTGTTTTGCAACAAGATTTGTATAATACCATCAACAACGTGACATCTATTATTATCCGTAATCAGTATTGCATATTTACTTTCATTGTATCCATTTTCCATTTTGATCTTCTTGACTCCTGGAATCAATACCTTTTGTATCCACAACATAAAGATCTCACTGGTTAAATAACCAGAAATGTTGCAATACAACTTAATGTTTCTAAAGTATTTGTTCAAAACTGTACTGTAATGAACTTTATCAATAACACAAGATTCGTTGATTCTTTCACCTGCAAGACTTATACATTCAATCAGAGTGGTTGTTTTTGATTTTGGTTTATTTGCAACACGAATCTTTGTATTGACTCCTTTGGGTACCATAGCTCGTGTGTTCTTTCGACTTGATTCTTCAGATGTTCCCATCTTGTCGACATTAAACAACATTTTGTCTTTGATCTTGTAATTGTTGAACAGTTACAAGATCGAAGATCCGACAACTGTTTGTAATTATCAAGTATTGGTTGTGGTGCAATGTTGATTGATTAATTAGTGAATTGATTCTCTCAATTTCATCGAACTTAATTTTTGATGTTTCTAAATCAAACTCTCTTTCGAGTATTTTTCTTATTGTATCACTTTGTGGTTTTGTTCATTTTAAATAATCAACGATATCACAAAACATTTGAAAAGTCAAAGCAATGCTTTGATTGTTATATTAGACAATAACGTTTTTGATAACTGTTTTTGTGGTTTCGGAAAGCAGTGACGGCCTATTTGGATTTCTTTGACCAAACTGTTACTTTCTTGACTTGATTTTTTATTGGATATTAATCCTCTTGAACCTTTAAAAAATGCACCCACGACACCTTGACTAAACTGGTTTGAAGTCATTTTGTTTATAAAAATGACTTACTCTCTATAAAGTTTAAATGAAAACAGTTTTTCTTATCAATGTGGGTTGTTCATGATAAAACAAAACAACTTTAATGCTTGTGTTGAATCACTTCTTGAAATATTGTGATGGGAGTTTGGCTTGTCATACAACATCCCAGATTTAAATAAAGATTTTGCGATTGGCAATTTCAATTCCTGTTCGTTGATATAATTTGATGGTTGATTGGAATTTTTTGATATCTTTTAAATTGTCCATTTCTATTGCGTTAAATGGATTCAAGTAAATTTCAATGTTCAAAATATCACTTTCATTAATTTCAACAAATTCGTTGCTGTTATTTTTCAATTATTTTTATTTTTTAAGAACAGTTTATTTTTAAAAAAGTAAAAATATTATGTTATAAATTTTGTTATTTATAGTTCTTGCATTTGGTTTTTTCTTGTGAATTAAGTATTTTTGTTGAATGAAATTAGTTTTTTATGCTAATTTGCTGTGCGAAGGTTTAATTGCCCAACTGTATATATACATTAAATTGTCTTTATTTACAAAATTAAAAATCACAAAACACTATATTATGACGGCATTGTATATAAATAATTACATACAAAACGATTCACGTTGAAATTATCTTTTTAATATAAAAATTAAATATGTGTTCACAAATTATTTTTGAAATGATTTTCTAAAAAACAAAAAATGTTGTTACATATATCAAATAAGGGGGATACATTTAAATAAAAATTGATATTTTTATTTGTTTATTTTGATATGTTTTTATTTGACCATTTAAAACTTAACAAATGAAAAATCGTATCAACTTAAATTATGTTGTATTTGTATAGTTTATATCAGATATCTGACAAATTATAATATAAGTTAAATTATTGAATATTCACTACAATATCATATTGTTATTTTTATATCATATTATTTTAAAACAAAAGAAATTGATTAAAATTCTTTGTTTAGAATTTTAGAATAAGAAAGCCATAACGACTAAAGCCATTATCGCGAAAACTGCATTAGCTCCATTGCATTTTCCTCCCTCCAACTTGTATTCAGCCATACATGCAGTGCATTCATCCACCTTTTCACAAGTTGCGCAACCTTCGACAGTACATTTAATGCATTTATTATTTGTTTTATCTGTCATATATCCTTCTGGACACTTATCAACACATTTCGAAGTGTCAGCCATGAGATTGAATTTGGTCTTGCATTGAGTGCACTTGTCATCTTTGTCACAAACATCGCAATTCTCAGTGGCACACTTTTCACACTTTTTAATTGGAGTTTCAACTGGTTTACCAATAGTGCATTTATCAACACATGAAATTTTGTCAGAAGCAATGTATTTGGTTCCACATTTGGTGCATTGTTCAGCATTTCCAACCGTTTCACAAACTTCACACCCATTAATAGTGCATTCTTCACAAGTCATAATATCTTTATCAGCTTTACCAAATTTGCAAGTTGTTGCACAAGTTCCATCAAGATTGATGTAATCAGTTGATGTAGTGCATTTGGTGCATTTGGTTGTTTTTGTATTTTCAGCAACTTCCATACATGCGGCACATCCACTTCCACATGCATTTTCTGATGTATCACACTTTCCATTTGATGTGATTTTTCCAGTTGCACAATCAACACATTTGTTACCATTCATGTATTTGAAGTTGGTTTTAGTATCACAAGTTTTACATTTACCATTGGCATCATTGGGGTCTTCAACACATGTGGCACATTTATAATCAGACAAACAGGCAGTACACACACCTTTAGAAATGTATCCAACAAAATTGGTAACACATTGTGAACAAGCATTAGCAGCAGTACATTTTGCACAATTTTCTGCACATTTTGTACACGTTTGACCACTTTTATAATATCCATCAATACAGCCGGTACAAGTGTTAGCATCGCTGCATTTTGAACAGCCATTTGTACATTTTTTGCAAGAACTACTGTCTAAATAATAACCAGGTGTGCATGCAGTACATTTTGTAGCATCGCTGCAAGTTGAACAACCATTTTTACATTTTGTGCATGAGTTACTATTTAGATAATATCCATCTGTACATGAAAGACAAGTTGTTTTATCTTGTTTGCACTTCGAACATCCCATTGCAGAAGTAGAACAAATCACTTCTGCTTTGCATGTTGTTTTGTCCATATAATATCCAGTTGTACATCCAGTACAAGTAGTAGCATCACTACAAGTTGAACAGCCAGCTGCACATGCTGTACATGTTTTACCATTTAGATAATAACCATCACTACATGCAGTACAAATGTTAGTATCGCTGCAAGTTGAACAGACAGTTGCACATTTTATGCATGTTTTTGTGTCTAAATGATAACCATTTATGCATTCATTACAAATTGTAGCACCACTACACTTCGAACAACCTTCAATTGTACATTTTGTGCATTTAGTACCAACTTTATAATATCCATCATTACAATTAGTACAAGTGTTGGCATCACTACATTTTTTACAACCAACTGCACATGCTGTGCATTTACTTCCTTCAATATAATACCCATCATTGCATGCGGTACAGACAGTGGCAGAAGTACAAGTTTTACAGCCTTCTGTACATTTTGTGCAAGATTTACTTTCTTCGAGATGATACCCATCATAACACTGTTCGCAAATTTTCGTGTTAGTACAGAAATAACAGCCATCTGAACATGCTGTGCATTCCTTATTGTTAACATAGTATCCTCCTTTACATGTTTCACATTTTAATGGATCATCTGTAGTACATGATAGGCAATTTTCAACAGGTGGTTTACATTCATCTGAAAAAGCAGTAAATACTGTAATTGATAAAAAGATTAAAGTTCTCATAGAATGATAATCAAGTTGATAAAAGCGTTTATATACCCAAATTAATTTATTTTTATTTAAATGTTTTAAAACAAATTGTCTTTTCGATTGTTCGACACGTTTGGTTTGCCGACCTCTCGTTTCAATTTATTATTAACATTATATCACACTGATAAAACAATATTAAAAATATTGTAAACACCAACAGGTGTAAGTTTTATTGTTTTGTAAATTAAAAAATTTTACACAATTACATTTTATAATATTATTATTATGTTGTCAAATTGATAAAAAAAGTAATATTAAATAAAAAAAATAATGTTATAATATTGACATTCAATAATAACCACATTTTTAACAACAATAATTAATTAAAAAAAGCACAGTTTGGTTATGAACTTGTTTTGTTTTTTGAGTCTCATTCAACTCTTCCATCATTTTAAATTAATTAACGTAATATACATACAAATGTTTAAATTGACAACATATTCATTGTTTTACACTTTGTCTGTTTTTACTATTTATAAACTCTCTTTTTTCCACATTTTATGATTTTCTTTTTGGAAAAATAAAATCTTAATTTTTTTTCTCAAAATTTTTGTTTTTAGATTACTCTTAGAACTTGTTATTTTATTTTTTAGTTTATTATAAAATTATAGTACATATTTAACAAAAAATAATAAGTAGGAAAAGGCACGCCTAAAGAGAAAGTCACACATGTTTTTGATTTTATTTTTTTTTTGATTTTTTTGTACCTTTTTGGATTAAAAAACAAAAAGTAAGTTTTTTCTTCTTTCATATGTTTTGAATCGAAATTAATTATTATACATTTTTTAATTCATTTTCAATCATATTTTTTTTAATTTGTGGTTTTCAGCTTATTTCCCTTTTAATTGGATTTTTTTATCTGTTGTTTCAGATTATTATGTTTTGTTTGTTATTTATACTATGTTATATTATTATTATATTATAAATCATTAATAAAATGTTTTAGTAAAAATTAATTTGTTGTTTGTTGAAAAAATCTAAAAATAAACAAAAACAAATTCGATAATATAGTTTTTAAAGTCTCAATAACCCAAACATTTTGTCTTTTTGACAATATGTTTATTTTTAGAATAAAATACAGTCATGCGTATCATCACAAATCAACAACAATTCAAAATAATTTTGATAGAATACAATAAAAAGACGTATCATCGATACTTTCAATGTCATAATTTTTATTTTAAGTGTTAATTAGTTTAATTAATATAAATTATTTTTTAAATAATTTGTTTAAAACTGGTTTGTTGATCTAAGACAGTACGACATCTATAAAAAGACTGACAAAAAATAAGAGATTGTATTACATATAGAAGAAAAACCAGTGATCAAACTAAATTTAGCTGTTTTATTTTTGGTATAAAGTTTCCTTGTTATGGAAAAATCCCCAAATAATCGGGGTTTTGAAGGATATGTTAATTTATTTTCAAAAACTAGGGACCAACTATTAATAGACACACTGTTTTTCAAATAAAATAGAAAAAACTATAAAATATGAAACTCTTAATTAATCATTCAGAGTTGCATTATTGTTATAGCCCAGCCGAGCCAAAGTAAAGTTTGTTTTTTATATTGATTTATCTTCCGTTGTTGAATACGTTTAATAATCATCGATCATTTACTTTATACCTAACATTCCTATGATTTTATTATTATTTTTTTATTTTCATAAACCGCATCAGTCACCTTTAATGCTGAACGAAGAGTGACTCATTGAATCAACCGAATGAATAGAGATAACTACAATGGCTTTTTCGAAAAAATGAATAAACGGTTTGATTGAATGGTTGTGTTGAAGTTGAACAAGGTTGAACAAAAGAATAATATTTTATAATTAAATAATAAAAATAATAATAAATAATAATAAACTTACTATTATAACTCATATTAAGCTGTTGTTTATTCATACTTTATACAACACACGGGACAAAAATGGGCTTTTGCTCAAAACTTATAAATTGCCACGTCAGGGGATGCTTTGGTCTAGATTTAGAAGTTACTAAAATGTTAAAAACTATTCAAGGGTTTCGAGGTTCATATATTATTTAATGTTAGATGTTTAAACAGTAAAAAATGGGTTATAAATATAAATATTTTTCAACTAAAATATAATAAACTGAAGTTCAAAAGTCTGTACCACCGTATTTATAGAATTTCCTAAAGTCCCATTTTTTATTTTTTATTTTTCCTAAAAAACAAAAAACAAAAAATCGAAAGTACTGACTTAATTTTAAAAAAATACCAATCCCGTTCAGTTATTTTCGTACGATATCGGGACTTTATTGGAATATTAGCCAGCCTTTTGCAAAAACCCGATCCTGTTATTTGATTAGACAAAAATTGGATATTCTACTGGGCAACACACACTGTATAGTTGTGCTAATTACACAACAACAAACATCTCAGTGTATTGAATCCGAATCATTTATGTCAAAATACTAAAAATCAATTTCTTTAACTTTTTATTTCAAACAAAAAACAAACTCGAGGTTTCTCTTTCAATACAAATAATAATAAAATTTTGAGTTCTAAAAAACCAAAAAAATAATAAATTAAAGCAAATGTCCTATAAATGTTCCTTGATTCTCGATGCATAATTTAAATCGTTTTGGAATTGAATCAATATAATTGTTTATTGTTTCCAATGATATTGATTCCCACGCTTCAATGAGTGCTTGCTTTAATTCTTCAATGTTCAAAAAGATGTTCTTCACCTTTTTAATAAGAGCATCAAGATAATGCCACAAATGTTCAATCGGACTAAGATCCTACTGTAAGCAGGCCATGAATCAAGCAACCTGACTCTCAATGATGAGTCAATACCCTGAAACTATTTCATTGTTGAACGAGCTGTATGTGGCCGTGCACAGTCTTGCTGAAAGGTCATTCCATGTTTATAAACTTCTTTTGCGTTCTTAAACGTTTTAGAAGTTTTCAGCATTTCAACGTAAGATTCTGAGTCGACTTTTCCAGTTAAAAACATTAACTTTGATTTAAAATTGTGGCCAATTGCTCCCCAAACCATAACACCCGTGTTGTATTTCGGAGTTACTACAAAATTACTTTCATTAAACTCACCTTTTCTTCTCCAAACATGATTACCATCTGAATAAAGGCAAAAACGGCTTTCATCTGATATTATAGTGTTTTTAATCCAGCGAGCTAAAATTCTTTTATTAAACAACTGTTTCTTGCAAAAATTGAGTCGATCTAAAACGTGTTTATCGGGATGACGACATTTGCCAAACGACATTTTACCAAAAAATAATAAGAACTTTCTTAATTATTCTTTAACAAAGAAAATTTTAAAAATAATTCATTGTTGTATTTTTGTCAAGCTTTTATAAAAATATATTTTTGTCAACAATAAATAAATTGTAAATTGTATGAATAAATATGTTTATATATTATTACAACTCTGTGTATTTTGTTTTTATTTTACGCTATTAAATCTTATTAAATAGAAAGATTACTTGAACTAGTAACTTTGGTTATACATACAATATTTTGAGTATTTTTTAAAGCAACAAATAAAAATACACAACTTAACATTTGTGTAAATTCACACTTTGTATTATTGGAAAAATCTCATAAGTATTATTTTTGTTTAAACAAAAATACTTGATTCAATTAACCAAACAATTTATAAACAATTGTTATCAAATTTTTAAATAAAATAATATTTTATTAATTAGTATATAATTTAATGATGTATTTTTCAAAAGTGAATTTGAAATACACTTTGTTTAAATAACCATTTGTATTCAAAAATTTATTTTTAACATGTTTTATGTAAAAATATACCAATTTTAAAGTTTTTTCTTGTGTTTATATGATGTCATTTGAATTACTTCGGCTCTATTATAATCACTACAACCCGAATTATTAAAATTGAATTATCATTTTATTAACTTTTATTAACTTTATTTCATTAAAATATTAAAAAAATAATCGTTTATTTTTACATTTATGTATTTATATTACTTCATTGGTTTTGTATTTTTAATTATAAATACAACATCAAAACTAATATATAACAAGAATGAGCATCAAAAGCACAAGGAGAAAAGAATTGCCTATTTATGATGGTTATTTGTTTCATGCCATAGACAAAGAAAGAACACACTTTCGCTGCTCTTGTCAAAAGTGTAAAGTGACTATAATAAAAAACACAGATGGAAGTTATCATTATGGCAAAACAACAACTCACATTCACGAAAAACAAGATTTACGCAGAAAAAATCATTTAAATTTTATCAAAAATGACTTACAAACTTCACCAACAAAAAAATAACAATGAAACCACTTATAACAAAATACAAAAGAGGTTCTATAGGAATAACACAATCGACATTAGAACGTTTTGTTCAAAGAAACAAAGTTCGCAAAATTGAACCAAATTCATATGATGATATTATAATAAGTGTTGGCGAATTCAATTTATTATTCAAAGATGAACAAAATGGAATACTTATATTTGGAAATAGCGAACAAATGACAATGTTGGCAAGATGCAAAGAAGTGTTTATGGATGGGACTTTCCGGAGTTGCCCCAAACAATTTTATCAGCTATATACACTGCATTGTCAATTACAAAACAACCAAACATTTCCAGCAATTCACTGTTTGTTGAAAAACAAAACTTCAAATACATATGAAACACTTTTTAACGCCATTGAATGCTTGCTTAAAGAAATCAACGAAAAATATACTTGTTTTGGAAGAAACGTTGTTGTTGTGACTGACTTTGAGAATTCGCTTATCGCCAATTTAAGAAAATACAAAACTTTTGGTCTAGAGCACAAAGGATGCCTTTTTCATCAAAGTCAAGCCATACGAAAATTTATCAATAATGCTGGACTTAAATGTGAGTATTCTTTAAATATGGAATTCAAAGCTACAGTTAAAATATTAGAGTCTGTGTGCTTTTTGAAAGAAGAAGATATTATTCAAACAGTTGGTATTTTAACGGCGTGGTATTCTCATGTACCTTCATTTGGGATAGTTGTGGAATACTTCAAAAAAGTGTGGATAAATGGCGCGTTTCCCATTTCATTGTGATGTCAATTTGTGAGAAAAAAGAGGACTAATAATGATTGTGAGTCTTACCACGCCGCGCTCACCAGGAGGCTTGAGTTCGTGAAACCTGGTTTTTGAAAGTTTGTTGAAAAAATCAGAGAAGGGATAGAAGATTTTAATAAAGATCTAAAAAACATAAAAAACGGACATTATAAAAAATCAAACAGAAAAGTTGAAATAATGTCTAATACACTTAAAAATTTAACAACAAATTATTACTGTGGTGAAATCAATTTAAATTGTTTTCTCGAAAAGGTAAGTGTGTTATTTGATGGCTTGAATCATGAAGTTTACTTCGAAGTCGAAAATTG